GGAAAAAAACTTTGGTGTAATATAAGGGTGCAGCTATATGAACAAGTTTTTCCTGAGATAAGCTAAAGAGTGTTTTGTAAGCTGTTAGCTTTTCTGTGGTCTCTGTCACTGGGCACTTCTGAATCTGTGGTAAGTAGTTTACCCTGTGTAACTGCAGGAGAAGTACTCCATGGAGCAACTGATGTAGATGGTGTACGGGCAGCCTCCCTCTCCTGCCAGCGCAAGGTCTGTGTAACTGTACCCTGAGGCTTTGTCTGCGATGCGTTGGTGACTAACAGAGTTTGGGCACCTCATTTTCTTTCTCACGTGGTTTAGCAAGTTCGCTGCAGTTGGGATCGAGTCAAAACCATGCCTTTTAAAACATTCAGCAGCGCTGACCTGGCTGACCATTCTCACTAACAGGTTTGTCTAGAAATGAGTTTAAACAGAGTATAAACCTTCATCCTGGTAGGTTTACAAGCAGGCTGACATACAGTGAGGTCTTACTTTGAACCGGTTTCTCACACAAGTTCTATTAATTTGTAGTCGAAGAGCAGAACAGCAGCCACTCTTTGGTGGAAACAAGTAAACATGATTTATCTAAACTGTTGAAAACATGAGCCAAGTGTTTCAATTCACTTTGTTTTCTGTCTTTGGCAATGGCTCTGCACCAGATGTAGTGGAGAGAGATGTAACAGCACATGTAGTGAGCTGTAAGGAAACAGCTTTCCCACAGATGGATCTTCTCAACACATCCTCTTCGTTAACAGTCTCCTAAAAGCAGCGTAAACTGTTAAGAGAAGGTACCTGTAAACATTTAGGCACAACTGCATCACCGCCTGCTTCATGAAGACCGCTTGTGTGCCCAGTTGAGATGTGAATATATTGGCTTCCAGTCACATGATCCCGCTGTGTTGCGGCCAGTAACCGGCTGTTGTGTGAACGCGAGGGCAGCTGTTTTACGTGGGGCATGGAGACCTGCTGTAGCTCATATGGCTAAGTTTGGAAAGGCTCCAGTCTGTGTTTCCTGGTCCAAATTCTGACTGAGGCTCTGAATTATATGTAAAGTGACTGTATTTGGTTACTTCAGTTAAAATATTTTAATGTATGAAGAGCAGCGTAATTCGGAGAATAATAAAAAAAAAAGTAGCAACAATAAAGAACATGGAGCCCTTCAGCCATTCAGGCACTCCCCAGCTGAATCAGAAAAATTGCTATTATTTAGTTGCTCACAGGCTTTTGATAAGTGTTTGATGCCTATTGGAAATCAGCTCAAAGTCAGTATCTGGGTTGTAGTCGATGAGTACCACACAAAATACCAGCTGGAGCCCTTTTTTCAGTGTGTGAGGTGACGATGATTTAACAGTCACACTGCAAAACCCTCCCCGGGTGTGTTTGCTGTGCTTGCTCTAGGACTGCTCTCTGTAGGCTTGTCATCCCACACCAGTGCCTTTCGACAGGAGGTTTATTTCTGCTTTTATTCCCTTTGGGATGGTTGAAGAAATAACTACAATCGTTCCTACAAACCCCTCTGATGGTCTTGTGGTCATTTTTAAATACCAAAAGTAATATTTAATTTTTTTTTTAAATACTGTTGGCTTTTATCTTCTAAGTAGAGGTATTTTCTTTCATGGGATAATTGTAAAGAGAGTTTCAAAAAATATTAATTATACTTTCTGGGCTAAAACTTCATGCTTCTAGCTAAGCTTAACCTTTCTATAAATAATGTGTGCTTACGAAATGGCTGACTTGCCGCATGTCCTTGTTGCTTTCCGGGCAATAGATTGGGCATGAGGTCATGGGAATTTACTGTTTTGCTGAGTGGGTTGGAGAAGGATGCCATTGGTATTTGAATTGGTAGCTGAGCACTTGAAGTGAAACCTCTTCTTTTGAAATAGTTGCAGCGGCCTCCAACTCAGCGAGCTGACCTGTTGGCCAGCACCTTCTTGAGCTGCAGTGTGTACCGGCCCCTAATTTGTTTAAAAGATACTTTCCCGTGGTAAGTCGTGAAATCTAGTGACATCTACCGCTACTTTTAGCTTTGAAAGAAGGTGAAAGAAAAGGAGGAAACAGTGAATTAAAAGCTGAGTTCAGAGGAAAAGTCACTGCTGTGGATTTCTTCTCGAGAACTTTGGGGTATCATCTTTGACACCAGTATTCCTTCCCTGTTTCGCTTACAAACCTGAGATACGTGTGTGTTCTGGGGAGGTCCCTCCCAGGAGAGAAGGTGCAATGCGGTGAAGGCTGGTAATCATAGATATTTGGGCTGTCAGGATGAAATGGTGTCCTTCCCCAAACAGACAGGAATGCAGAAGTCTAGGAGGGGCCAGGAGGGAAGGAACCACAAGAAAGTGGTTTGGGAAAACTTGAGCCAACTCAGTTGAAGCCCATGGGAAATGACTTTTGGAGCACGGTAAAGATAATGAGGAAGGAATGCCAGAAAGATTATTAGACTTTAATAAAAAGTGTTCAGTTATGTGTTTGCAGTGACTCCGATCCATGGATTGCTGTGCAATTGGACTCCATGCAGTTCTGTATTTTGTTTAAAATAATGACAGTTCTTTTATTTTCAATAAGCCATGACCACGGATTCATTTTCACGGTATAAAAAAATTATTTAAAAATTTTGGTTTGTTACTAATATGTTTTTTTTCTTCATCTGTCTGATACCTGAATTAGTTCACAGATTTATGTCTAGCAGCAACATGTCTTAAGGCTTGTGGTGCAATAAAATTGTAAGCAAACAAACTTAGGAAGGTTAAGAGGAAATATGAACAAGTGCATTCTTGTTTCAGGGTTACAGGAACTGGGAGTGCCCCGTGTTTCATTTGTTACTTTAGCAGAATCATCTTACTCATCTTCTTCAGCTCTGTAGGTCTTGTTCTTACTGCCCGTCCGCTGTGTCTGTGAGGTGTTTCCAGAAGGATGTTTGTGTGTGTTGAGGTGAAGCAGGACTTCTGAAATACTCCTTGGTTACCAAATTAAAAAAAAACAACCAACCAACCCACAACTGATTTCTTTAGAAGAATTCTCAGTTCTCTTGCCATGAAACTGAGACATTTTGCCTGGCTGTAGTGCCAGCTGCCTCTTGCTTTTTGGCATCACCCTCCCCTGATTCTGGGCTGTGCTGTGCAGGCAGAGGTGGAAAGGGGCAGAACTGGTGTTTTGCAGCTGGGGTTGTGCCTCCTGGGCAGACCTTGTGCTTGGCAAGTCCCCATGTCGATCAGTCCCCGAGAAGCGCAGCGGTGGTACCACGCCTCTCTTGCTTCATGGCCCACATACCACACGTTTGCTCTGGGTCACAAACCAATGTTTGATGTCCCGAGTATCAACGTTCCCTTTAATGGAGGGATCTGCTCTAGTTGAGTGTGTTTAAAGAACGGGTTGCCCAGAAAAATTGTGGATTCCTCCTCTCTGGAAGTGTCCAAGGCCAGGCAGGGTAGGGCTTTGGGCAGCCTGGTCTTGTGGGAGGTGTCCCTGCCGATAGCAGGGGGGTTGGAACTAGATAATCTTTAAGGTCTATTCCAAGCCAAACTGTTCTGTGATTTTGTGATTAGTATCAGCTTTAATTAAAAGAATTGAGGACTAGGCAGTTTAATGAGGCTTTAATGGGATACATTAAGAAAAGTATGTCCAGCAGGTCTAGGGAAGTTCTCTCCCTCTGCTCTGCTCTGGTGAGACCACACCTGGAATACTGTGTCCAGTTTTGGGCTCCCCTATTCAAGAGAGACAGGGACCTACTGGAGAGACTCCAACGGAGAGCTACGAGGGCGGTTGTTGGACTTGAACATCTCTCCTGTGAAGAGAGACTGAGAGAACTGAGGCTGTTTAGCCTTGAAAGCAGATGGCTGAGAGGGGACCTTACTAACGTATATGAATATCTGAGGGGTGGGTGTCAAGAGGAAGGGGACAACCTCTTCTCAGTGGTGCCCAGCAATAGAACAAGAAATAATGGGTTTAAGTTAGAACATAGGAAGTTCCACCTCAGCATGAGGAGAAACTTCTTTACTGTGAGGGTGATGGAGCACTGGCACAGGCTGCCCAGAGAGGGTGTGGAGTCTCCTTCTCTGGAGACTTTCAAACCCCACCTGGATGTGTTCCTGTGTGGCTGCCCCAGGGGATCCTGCTCTGGCAGGGGCGTTGGACTGGATGATCTCTAGAGGTCCCTTCCAACCCCGAACGTTCTGTGGTTTGCAGAATCAAATTTCCCTGCTTGTTCCAAGCTTCCTCCCAGGTGGTTCCTGATGAGGGCAGGTGCCAGTCCATAAGCAATGAATTGCAATGGACTATTTAACGAAGGGGGATGTTTGGGAGGGGTTAGGTATTTACTCACTGTGAGAGTGAGGATGCCGCCTGGCATGTAGCAACTGGGCACATAAGGGGAAGAAAACTGCCACACAAGGGAGGGTGGTGGAAACTTGCCTTTGCATATAACCCGAAACACACGGTAATCAATTGCAGGTGCCCTGGACCTGTGGGTTGTAAACAGAAATGAGGAAACTGCAACTGCGCTGCCTTTCCTGTGTTGCTCAAGGGCAGGGGAGGGGCAGCTGGGGAGGGAGAGGCCTGGGAGCCACCGCTCGGTGGCTTCTGCTGCAGGAGAAGCAGCCGCATCGTGGATTCATTGCTTTGCTAGTAGGTCTGGTGCAGAACTAAGAGAGCTGTGAGGATTATCTTTGCTTTTCTGCAGCTCCTTCGCTTGCAGTGTAGGCGAGCACACACGTGCACATATGCTGGTGGTTAATTCTTCCCTCTTGGCCCTTCGCAAAAGAAAAAGCAGAGTTCTTGCCTTACCCTGAACAGTACGCCCACACTTAAAAGCTTTCTTGGGTTTTAGAGATGTGTATTTGGGGATAAATCATGGTACTGAGTGTCAGATTTAAAAAAAAAAAAATAAATTTCAGAGGCTATACCAATCTGAGTTTCAAGTTGGCAGTTTGGCTTATTGCACAAGAGCCAGTAAAACTCAGCTTTCTAGTGATGCTGCTTACTTAGAAGTCCAATAAAAGGCATGAAGTTACTTGGCTGAGAGGTGTAAAGCTAGTCAACAGGGGCTCTGAAGAAGTGGAAGGCCGTCTGCATTAATAAAACCCCACTTTGGTAGCTGTCGTGTCTGCTTTAGAAGCACAAGTGAAGGGGAAAAAATGGGAATTTTTAAATAAAGAATGCTTGGATGAGCACTTCTGCCTCCTTTACAATGTGTCTGACTCATTTGGTGCAGCAAAAAGAGCGAACATCTCTGGCAGAGAGAGGAGATAGTGATGCGGGAATAAGGGCCTCTATTTAAGGCTGTAAATAGCAACTCAGTTGAGCAGCACTGGTGGAAGCGAAGGTGGTTGTCAGGTGTCTCGCTGGGTGGTGGGTGCTCCTGACAAAGGGCTGCCCTCACAAAGCAGCAGGAGGTTTTATCAGCAAGAGTTACACACCATTAGCAGCCAGCGTTACGCTCTTGTTAATGGTGGGAGCACCTGCAGAATGTTGACCTGAATTGGGAATTTGTGTGCTGCCTCCCCGTAGGGGTTTAGACCCTTGGTCTCCCTCATCTCAACCAAGTTTTTGCATTACGAGTAGGAAAAATAAAGGAGTTTTCCATGGTGGTAAGGTGTTGGGAAACCAGGCTACCTTGACGTGCCCCATATGAGGTGCCGTCTTAGTTAATTCTGGTTGATGATGCTATGCAGACATCTGTTTTTCCAGCTAATATCGGGCAGAAAGGTAACAAGTGAAGTCTTCATCTGCAGTGAATTTGGTAGAATTTTCCTAGGCTTTTGGTTTTGTTTTTTTTCCTTAGACTTGGGTGTTGACCAGTAGGTGAGGACAGTGAGTCAATCCAGAGGAATGGGAACATTCTTCCCCATTTAGTTTCCAGAAGGTGATCAGGGAGGGCATTAGCTCTGCATAGCTGTAGCAGTAAAAATGATGGGTTGGTTACTCAAAAATTGCTATAAGAAGCGAACTAAATTATTCATTTGCCTGTAATTGTATCTTGTCTCACACTATGATTTCTGTTTGCCTATCCAAAATGCACCTGTGCAGAAATGTACAATAGTTTTCTCAAAACTATAGCCAATGGTGGTCTTGCTGTTGAAATGGGAGGCTGTGTTTTGCTGTTCTGTGTGTGCATGTGTGAACGAGAGAGTCTCTTGAACTTAAAACTTTCCTTGTTGCTCTTCCAGACGCGGTTGATTCCATGCTTTCAGACTACGACATCCTTTCTCAGTCTAGCATCCAGCAACACTCGCTGAGGAAAAGGGACCTCCAGCCTGAGACGCACATAGAGAGGATCTTGAGTTTTTCAGCCTTGCAAAGGTAATTAAATCATCAGCAATGAAATCCCGTCAGATTTTCCTTCAGTTTGAGATGAATAACGCACGTTTCCAAACCCAGAGATAGTTACCTCGTTTTCTGTCATGACTGCCCAATTCTTCTACGTTAGCAATCTGCATAGTTATATGACTTAGAGACAAGAGAGAAAGTTGATTTTATTACTCTGTTTGCTGCAGTGGCAGTGATTTAAGATTTCTTTCCAAGATTACTTGCACTGATTGGGTTGGATCCCACTTTCATCTGGCAATGTTGTTACGCTTCTTGACTATCCTCTAGTTCTTGAAAAAAATCTCCCTTCAATTTGGGGAATGTGTGTGAGGTGTGTTGCCCAAGAGATTTACTGAATTTTTTTTCATGAAGGTTTAATCCTGTTTCTACTGAGTGTAAATTTCCTGTTCAGTAAAACACTTATTTTAGTAATTTTTGGTTTATAAGATGGGAAATAGAAGTGCAGGTGAAAGGAGAAGGAGAGGTAGAAGAAAGCAGGCATGAAGATTGTAGAGATTTTGTACTGAGTGTCAGAAAAGTACCTTACAGGTATTTGAGCGCTGACATTGTGAATCTGAAGTGAGGGAGCGAGGTGAGAATAACAATTTGTATTAACAAGTGTAGGTTGATTTCATCTGACATTTTATCTATTTTGTTCTTACGTGCCTTCCGCTGTCTGTCAGCCACAGCTACAACTGCCATGCAAGTTGTGCACATTTTTTGAATCTCTAAATGTTTGGAGGGGATAATTTTTAAGTACCAAGTGTAAAAGGTTAATGGGATTGAATGTCTGGCTGTCCCTGTTTTGCACTGCCTTGTGTACCCAGACTTGATGGTGAGCTTGCGATACTGCCAGTGATAATTACGGAATAGTTGCAGAGGGGCACACCAAAAATCTTTGACCCGAAGCCCACAAAACCCAAGAGCCCATGAGGCTCCTTCCAGAGAAGATTCTCTACTTACTTCTTGGGAGAGCCTTTAGGTGTTGTGACAATATATCATAAAAGTCTACAGAGTTCAGATTTCTGTTGAGAGCCTTCTGGATGGATTATTTCAGAAAATAAGAACTATAAGGTAGTTTAGTTTAAAATAGATTTACAGATTCCTTGGTTTGATTTTCTTTAAATAGCTATCAGTAACTGGTTTTGCTTGATTGCGCATGGAGAGGGTGCGTTGTGAGCAATCTGTGACTCTTGGAATTGAGATCTGTTGTTTATTTTCTGTTAATTAAACATCTTTGACACTTTAAAATATTTACAGTTAAGAATTAGCTAGTATATATTTTTTTAGCCTGCTTATCAGAATGAATGCTTTCTAAGTTCTTCTGGACCCTCAGTAAAATGGAGGTTGCATGTCTCTTCTGTGTGAACATTTTGCTTAAAAATAAATGGAAGTAAATTCTTTTACAGGCACTTTAAATTATACTTAACTGCAACTGCTGAACACTTTTCCGAAAAATTTCAAGCATTAATTGTGAATGGTGAAGGCAAGGAAAAGGAGTATCGTGTTCAATGGCAAGACTTTTTCACCGGACATGTCGTTGGTTAGTATGAACTAGGCAGTGTGTCAGTGCTGAGCAAGCACAGCTTCGCACGAGTCTCTCAGCCAAAGTAAATGGTGTATTGCCCTCGTTTTCCTCAGATATGGCTAGGATGAACAAGTAAACTTAATTCTCAGGCCCCCTGGATTTTCTGGGTTTTGTTCTGTGGAGTTCTAGTGATAGGTTTGGGACAATTTTTTTTTAGGTTTGGTGGGTGGTGGGTTTTTTTTGAGCTATTGCGCCAAGCTTCTATGATAGGACTCTTCTGTTTAGTTTGGCAGAACACAAAGGTGTAATTGACTCAGCCAGCAGCTTATGATTTATTTTTTTTTTCCTTTAAATGATGGTGGTAACTTTAATTCCAACTGAAGTATGGGGCTTGAATGTTCCTTGTCCCAGAACACAAAGCACAAGTTGTGGTAATGCAGTGTTGCCCAGATTGTTATATTAAAAGACTTCAGGATGGTTCTTTGCAGATTAC